GGCTTATTAATCAAGAATCGTCATGCATCAGATAACACCATACTGTCACGTCTCTACAAACGTTCGCGATTTATCGACTTGTGTAAAATCATCGCAATGAATCTTTCATTATGTGAAACATAGTTCCATCAAAATCCAATTTGTTTCCCATTGCTATTAAAGATGTACAGTCACTCATTTACTTTCCGACTCATTGAAACTAGTTGAGGTTTTGGAATTGCATTTAGGTGTTATTTGCAATCACTTACCATCGCGTGTATTAGAATTCTCCTACTTGGGCAGCATCATATTCCCACAATTTGCCTTGTATATATAAGTCGATCACTTTACTCACCCTAATATTACTTTATTAAGAGTTACTGGTAGAGACCAGGTTTTTTTTCAACGAAAAAAGTTATTTTATAGTGGATGTTAGGGATTTTCATGACCTTGTGATAATGAGTCAAAACAAAAGTCTCCTGTTTCATGGCGGGACGTTTTCATTCATTCTCGTCCACTATATATTCAAGTGCCTTCATATGGAGGATTTTAGATAGTAGTGTAATCGAAGTTTAGGCTTAAATAATACTCAATTTCTGCCTTTCTAGGCTTATGTGTGTTAATTAGACACATGGTAGGACAGTGTGCCAAAATGTAAGCCAGGAGTCTGTCCAAATGTGTCGGACTTCAGCCGGTATTTGTTTTAATCTTATTCAGCTGTCTTTCATCTGAACAGTTCAGAAAAGTCAGCTTACCGCCAGCGTACTCCACATATAAGAAAACGAGATACTACTTGCTCGGTTATTTCTTAGTTAAAAAAGTGTGGTCTACGCATCGCAGCCATACTTGTAAAGGGTTAAGGCATCCCATTATTGCATAGACCACTAACAGATACAATGGTTATCCACTAACGAAATATATTCCCTCTAAACGAAAAATAAGTTGAACATAAATACTAGTCCTTATGATATGAAGATTTCACCTTCGTTTAAAAAACTGATGAGCACTTAGTCGCTTGGTAGAAATATGTTGCAATGGATGTTTAAAAAGTCTTCAGTGGATGTGTTCGCTAACGATGAGTCAATATGGTGACTTTTAATCTTGTCAACTTATTCAATAAAAATTGAGGTTAATGTGTTTCTAAATTGAAATCGTAGGAAATACCCATTGGAATATTAGATTAAAAACAACAAGAAGTTATGCAAAGATGGCGATCTTTTCAGCGATTTCATTCTCAAAAGCAGCTGTACAGTCGCATTTATACGCATTATTTTACATCGACACAATTATTATCTATTTATTTAATTCCACGGAGTAACGAAGGTGATAATAATTTTCAGCTTGATATGAAAGACTGCATGGGATTAGAAAACAGTTACAACGTAGGCAAAATTAATATTTGGTAACTGGAGTAATAATTTTAAAAGCGAATAAAAGGTGATAATTATTTTCAACTTGATATGAATTACAAGAGGCTTAGAAATAAAAATTACGCTGGGATAGAATGGATTACAGGTGTTTAGAAAATGAGCATGGAAACAAATTGAAATCCAATTTTTTAACTTGAAATGTAAGTTAGGAAGGCAGTGTGAATATAGATTACAAGAGGCATAGAAACAAAACAATACACATGATTAGAATATAATTGTATAACGAGTATTCTAAGTTGATTACAAGTGTGATCCGGAGGAGTATGGAAACAAACTTCAAATAGCTAATTTTATAACTGAAAAAAATAGGATGAATTGAATGAAGACAACGAGAGAAAATTACACACACAGAGAACAAAACAAAACAAATTACTGAAGGATAAGGGAACATACCGAACTGAGTCCATGGTAGTTTTAGTTTGAACACATAGCTCCGACTTTTCGATGCATATAGCGACAGCTTCCGCAGTACAAAGAAGTTTGAATCACGCTGATTTTAGTGAATACTGTTTACTTTGTAAATGATTCTGAATGATAAGTCAGTTGAGATTCTATGACAGATATTGACGAGGTGTTCAGTTATTGTGCTTCTGATTGAACCAATGCCTCCACTTTGCAGCCATGCTGGATGATGTTCCCCAACACGTTTTCATATGACCCGCAAAGAACCACCTATGTACCTAGCTCTGCAAGAGGAGGCGAACTGATATATACACGTTGAAGTGGTCATAAGCGGAAGTCTGTCCTTCCCGTTTCTCCGAAGAAGTGGGCGGCTAGAAAAAATCACTCTTAGAGTTGCTGCCGGAAAAGTCTTCTCCAGGGAATTGGAGATTCTCGCTTTAAAGATATCTGCTGCTAGGTCTCCCTGAATTCAAGATTCAAATGGAGTGTCTTCTTTTGCACTGAAACGTATTCTTCTCATTTTGGCCTTGGTTTCATGTTCTTCTCCACGAAACGCGGTGGGTATCCATTTTGAATCAGGATGATATTGAGAAATAAATAGTCATCGTTACAAATTCTTCTGGTACGGTGGGCTAGCGAGATGATGAGAGCTCTTTTACGACTGATAGGTATCCAACTGTAGAAGTTTGGCTATTCCATGTTGGTTTTCTATGCAGAGATCTTTTCAGAGTTCCGTCATAATTTTTTGTCTTCTTCTTATCTCGCCTTGTAGCTGTTTTCTAATCCTATGCAATCTTGTCTCTAACCCCCTTGTAATCTATATTCCTACCTTCAAACATTTATATCAAGTTGAAAATTATCATCACCTTCGTTACTACGTGGAATTAAATAAATAGATGATAACTGTCATTATAATAAAGGTTTTTTGTATTTCCCAATGAATGAAAAACAAAACGATGTTGTTTTTACTGGCGTTTCGCTATTTAATGCTAATAGCTTTCTCAAAGTATTATGATAATTGTGTCTATGTAAACTAATGTGTATAAATGAGATGTACAGCTGCTTTTGAGAATGAAATCGCCGAAAATATCTCCATCTTTGCTGAACTTCTTGTTCTTTTCAATCTAATGTTCTTAAATTCAGACGAATAATTTACTCCATATTCTAGTTTAAGTGTTTTATGATTTCGGTATTCGCAAAATGTATTCAGGTTTGTTGTAATTTGGAAAATTACTGTATTCAGTAAATGAACGTATTGCAATACGTGGTTTGTGAATTTTCAGTAGACTTTCTCCATCTGCTGTGTTTGAAAATACCCCACCAGAATTCAGGGAATGTTCGCAACATATCATAAATCATCGGTACACTAAAATAATAATTGGGTTTAGTAAAAGCTGTATTCTGAACCAATGGCATTATGGTGTATGGAACTCTCACTGTGATTTATTACATGATATTTTCTTTTCATCCAGGATCTTCAAATAAAACATTAATTGACAGGAGATCGTTTCACGTAGTGCTATTTGACTGTGAATTAAGAAGCAATCAAGTGTGATATCTCTGCTTCGTCAGCTACGAGAAATACACGACAATATACCTTGATGCTTATTGTAAAATGTTCAGGAGTACATTTTGCTAAACAAGGACACAAGCGAGGAAAGTTTATCTAATGCAGTGGGCTAATATGTTAACTAAGATAATACTTTTTTTGATGTTTGCTAGATATCGGGTGTGCGTCGGCAGGGGATCGAACCCAGGACCATGCGCATGGTCGGCAAGAGTCCTAACCACTGTGCCACCAATACAGTAGTAGACTTCATCGAATTCAAGTGACAGATTTCAAGTGGTAGCTATTCATTTTGAGGGTTGAAGGCGAAAATATATATTGCTCTATGAATGAATGCTGCTTTTTAGCTGAATGTTTCTCTGTCTTGTGCTACAATTTTTCAGTCAATTTATCTACAACCCCCCAAGGCCATCTTTTCTAAACTCCATAAAGGGATGTTGTTATCACACTGGCTGTTTATATACTCAGAGTGATGACAGTCACTCAAAGCTGTACATTCATAATTTGAAAATCAATCGATTGTCAGTTCTCTCTCTCACACACACATGCTGAAGTCCATCTGGACACAATAATGGGCCTTAGATTATGACGTTGTCTTGAGAAGAGAAACCATCAAAAATCTCATGACAGAACATCATAAATACAAGACAGTACAGCATCAAACCACATTATGGTTGTCCTCAATATTGCGTATCAGTGTGCTGCTAATCCTTGTAATTTAGTAGCCTTTAAAACATTTTTTTCCTGAAAGCTGCTGATTAGAAATTACAGTTATTTTTTCCACTGGCTTATTCTCCTCTCACCACGTTGGTTTTATTTTACCAAGGGTGTATTTCGTCTAATGCTGATTAGCTCAATTAAGTAAGCAGCTTTAGATATTCATGTGATTGTCAATATTTCTTAGTGAGTTGATTCGTATTTTTATTTGTCTACCTACTCTTTACTCTTCTAAAGTTGTGATCATGTCTCCCCACGCTACATTTAAATCACATGGCATTTATTTTCACACAGTATATAAGGCAGACGTTAATTAAAGTTTTCGTATTATTTTTAAGCATGCACATTGTTAATTGCACTGTTTTTGTTCTGCTTACTGCAGGTTAGTTTTGCTTAATGTACTAGTCTGTTATTTTTGTAACCTAGTCGTGGCTAAGCTGTCTCTCACTCTATCTCTCTCTCTGTGGTGGAGTTTCATCAATGTGCATGTATAAAATATATCTAACACCGGTCTACTGTGATGTAAAAAATTGCTGAACCATGATATTCTCCGCTAATCTCATAGTTATTTAGTCAGTTTAACCATACATATATGCTATAACAGTACTCATTCAATCCAAGTGAGCTTTCTCAGATACTAGCCATTTATGCAGTTGACATCCTTCTTTCTTTTCTTTTTTGCTCATGCTCCTGTCATGAAGAGGCTGCTATTAGACAATGAATTAAATTCGGGCATTCAATTCGTTTAGATTGTGTGAATATATAAGTGAATTACTCGAAATGGTTAGACGTCTGTGCCAATGAAATTCTCTGCTCAAACTGAAATCAACATTTTAAGAATGTAGCTAAGTTATTAATGTTCTGTACAGTGAAAATCTTTTTCTTCTCGCAATGTTCTAATCGTAATGGGTGATGCTGGACGTTCGAATTCAAATAGGTTACTTTTAGAATACCATCCGCTTATTACAGTGCACGACAGCAGGTTGGTTAAATATATATTAGATGAAATCTTGTGCACAAGTGGCTGACGTGAGAAGGTTATAGGTATATTAATATTTATGAATATACTGCTTAAAATCAAAGGACTTAGTAAACCCGCTTTCATTACAATTGTTAAACTTGTTCAAATGACACAAAAGTTCTAACTATTTCTTTATCATTGTCAAGTGAGTAATTTATTTATAGACAGACAATGTGGAGAAACACGATCCTTTTTGATTCCTCAGGCTTCTTTAGGAATATTCATTATTACACTTTTCCAATAAAATAATTTTGTGTACTATTCCCCTAGAATAAATCATTGACTGCAGTTAATTTCATTTCGTATTAAAACTCTCAAATGAAATATTTTGAGGTTGGTATTCAACTCATCCATCCTTCTCACAGAAATGAAATGGAAGACGTTATCATCTTTATGTGTCCTCACATATTTAAAATATCTAACAATGTAAAATGAATAAAATATGTTTTAGTGGTATGGGGAACATGTAAGTCATCATCATCACTTTGTTATTCACAATTTATACTGAATTTTCGTCTTTTGTGAAGTATTTGCATAATCACAGCAAACATATTTTCTCAGCCTTATTCGTCAGGTAGCGTCATAGCTGAGATCCATTTAAATCTCCGTTAAACAGAATGCTTACATGCAGCTAAAACGACATTTGCACGCATTTGATCAAATCTGGGCTATATAGCTTCCGGTTGTTTTCATCTTTTTCTCCAGCAACAGAAGTATAGTGAAATATAAGAAGGTTTCTTTTTTTTACCTGTGTCTGACAAATACCTTCAATAAGGATTTCACAATAAGAGGAACTAACTTGGTAGTGTAAATCTTTGAAATGATGAGAGTTTAAATGTTTTTATGCCAACCATTTTGGTGATTCACCTATGGGCCTTTGTAGTACATAATTTCGGGAAATCTATCATCGTGTTCACAAAGGCGTCAGTGTTTCTCTCTGTTTCCCTGTGCGCGTGGTAACAACTCTTGGATGTATATATTCAGCATCCTTCGTGTTATAGATGACTGGAGTATTTCAACGTTTTACTGTTTTCCTTTTCCAAATGTCTACTGTGATCTATTTGCATCACTGCTAATCCGTTCATCACATGTTACAGTTACTAAAGATGCCTGTGTGTCGTCAGTAATCATACTTCAAAAACAGACATGTTTACGTTTATCTCGACCTTGCTGTGTGACTGTCTCGTTCACCAGTGTATGCAGATATTTTACGATGAATAATTGTCGAAAGTGACTGGGATATCTGTGCCTATTTATCGTGATTAAGGGCGAAAAAATACCTTGTCCCACTGCATTCTATTTTTTATTCAGCAAATGTGATTTGACTCAGTTTTGCATTCAGACAGCTTATGCGTTCATCATGCCTCAAGAGCACAGAGTGAGATAAGGTAACTAGTACACTACAGGCTCATTTAACACGGGGTTATTATGAAAAATAATAAAAAGAGCATAATAATTCTGGAGTAATTGCCTTCCAGATGACTATTCCAATGGCCGAAAGAACACGAAAATATTTTAGAAGGAAATGGAGATAGATTTAATGACATCAAAAACCAGCTCCTGGAGTATATCTCAAGTGAGAAACGGTGAGTTGGGTATTTGAAGGTGCTAAAGAGGAGTTCATATGCAAAGTAAAAATGAGAGATTGTGGTCAATTGTGGGGCAAGGTAAAAGGCGAACAGATGACACAGTAAAGTTAATAATAATGATAATAATAATTTATGCTTTATTCCAAAAACAATTCTAATGATACAACAAGGAATTTTCAGCATTCAGTACAATATTGCATCTAATTTACTCAAAAACGACAAAAAAATAAACATTACATAATAATAACAAAATGTTGTTACAGCAGCTATGTAAGAAAATTACAGTATGCGATATGGAGAAAAATATCCATAAAGTATAAAATTGTAGTGATAATATTAATAACAACTGATATAAAATTGCTAAGTTATAATTAAACGATAGAAAGGGTGATACTATAAAATTACAGAAAGATGAACGATGAAAGGGTTGATTCACTTTGCTAATTACAGAGTAACACATGTTTTACATCTAACAGTGTTTCTATCACATAAAATACTGGCTAAATGGGTTATTTTAGAATTTTTTTACTTAGTGATTCGAGCATGTAACTTCTTCTATTGACTTTTCATTCTACCTGATGAGATGCAAGGGGATAGTTGTGAATAAAGAGGGTGCAGAGGGTCTGACAGTACGACCTTTGCCCATTTTGTAAAGGATTTTATGTCTTTCAACTATAATATTGACGAGCTCACGCAGTGGCATACCACAAGCCCTGCTCACAGCATTTAATACCCTTCGTAATATGATATAGTCTTTTTTGAGAAGCCCAGGAAAGATTAATAGAGAGCAGTAGAGTACAATAGGTGAAATGCAAACTGCAGAAGTAAAGGTTGGTTGATACCTGATTATCTTAACTTTTTAATGTAGATGGTAAGAAAAAACATTTTCTTAGAGATAGATAAGATGTGGAATGACCATGAAAGGTTAGAGGAAAGAACTAATCCATCTATGCTACAGGCATCATGGGAACTAACTAGTTCATGTATGTCACGTTGAAGCTTGAAAGTAAAGTTAACTGCTTGACATTTGGAAGGATTTAACATAAGATCGTTTGACTTAGATCACTTGCTGATGATGAAGCTCTACGTTCCACTTGGAACTCAAGTGATGAGTTATAATAATAACGAAAATAATAATAATGAAATTCTATTATGATGTTAATGCATTTCTCAGCATACCTGAAATCAGTTTATTTTTATATATCTTTGAAAATCAATGATTGTCAATATTGTTCACTGGTATTTCATTGTTTTTTTCATCTTCCCTCCCTAGGATTGGAACAATGTAAGCATTATTGCTCTAATTAAAAATAACACTTCCATGCTCACTTATTTTGATTACACACAATTCATCTATGCAAGACTTCAGTTTAGATAAGATGGCGAAGATTTGTTGCTCAGGTGGATGATTTTGATACCGTTGTGTTCTCTAAGCTGGATAGTAAGTAATTTGCAAAGCTTTCATCCCTCTACCAGGCAATGACTCCAAATTGAAGTATGCTCAGGAGATGTTGCCTAGTAGGGCGATGAAAGCTTCGCAAATTAACTATCCACCTTAGAGAACACAACCACATCAAAAGACTTCAGTTTATTTAACAGGAAGCAGCACAAAGGTTACTTTATCAAAGAATAATAATTTCCAAGAGCAACAAAATTAAAGTTGACATTTTGTCATTTGCACTGATATTTAGTTTTAGTTTGTATGCATAAAAGTGCACACATAGTGATCAGCATATATATCTGTTACACAGAAAATTCATTCAATTTTTGTGCCTTTCTATACACCTCTGAAAAATGTCATCTCTTACTGATACGTACTGCGATATCCGTCAGAAAGTTTAATGATAAATAAATGTTTCCCTAATGTGAACGATATCTTCGCTATGGCTTTAGGTATTTTCGAAAAGCTTCAGAATATTTAAGGCTGAAAGAACGGAATCTATAGAGCTGGGCTTGATTTAACAGTATTGCAAAGTGAAATATTTTACTCTGTGTCAGATTTTTACCACCTTTGTACGACTATCTTTTTCTTAGCGATTCGAAGACAAGTTCTGTTATTAAAAACTGAGTTCTGTAACTCTGCACATTGCCTAGTTTCACTCGTTCATAAGATAGGACTGTCAAAAGGCAACATTTTATTCATATGAGTCACTTTCTTAGTAAACATTTTGTTTTAAATATTTTTATGGCATACCATTTATGAAACTGTATTTTCTGATGTGGAGAAAGTGTAATCGCTTTGCGAACCGTCAATGTGTTCATATGTGTTCGAAAGATCTTGGGAAGAACCAAGTGACAATTTCAATAAGTGAGAGTTGCTTTCTAAGATGGTATTAGTATCACACACTGATCCTTGTGCGAACAAGGAATGGCTTAATTCCAGGTATTACACAAAGTCGTAGGCAGGCTACTGACATGGTGTTTGTGGCAATTATACTGTTAGCTTAAATTCTCATATATCTTCTTGTCTCCTTGAAATTGCTGTGTACAGTGAAACCAGTGTGAAAAATAGCTGTTAAAGTTTCAGATCTTTGCTATTTTTTTTAACTGATGGAAAATTCCCATTGTAACATATAGAAAATCAAACCAAATGATTCAGCGAAGAGACTCTTTTCAACGAATTTATCATCAAACTGTACAGTCGTATATATGTGGTTTTTAAAGCAACACCTATCCTAAAAAAACCATATATATACGACTGTATAGTTTGATGATAAATTCGTTGAAAAGATTCTCTTCGCTGAATCATTTGGTTTGATTTTCTAAAAGTTTCAGATGACAAAAAGCTTCGCACAACCTGTTCGTGCAGTGAGGTCCCAATTGAAGGAAACATCATCAGAGAATATGTGGACTGCAGCTAAACTCTCACAGTAGAACACTACTCGCCAGGGAAGAACAAATGTAAAATGCACCATCTGCATTACCCTAAAGCCCGAGAAGTATAACTCATAAATATCTTGTATATATATCCGTCTATAAATAAGACTTATAAATTCATTTACTTACTTTCAAAGGGATGGCAGCGGTAAGATTTTATTACAAATGGCTACAATTATATATTGTTATTCCTTTGAGGTTAATATCCTATTCGTTGGTGAAATTCTAACTGATGCATAGTGTTAAATTAATCAATAACGTCCGTGTTTTGTGAGTCAAGTTAGTGAGCACATCACGAGTAGAATACAAACATTTGATGCACCAGTTACTATGTTAAAGCATTTAAAGTGAATCGCCTATAAAGTAATACAAACTAGCCCCTGCAAAACAATCCAAACGGTTCCGAAGAAACCTGTCTATATCAGTTTGCCGTTCATAGGAGATGACGTACAGGAAGTAGTCAAACGAAGACTCGACAAAGCCATCAAGAGAACGTATTATGCTGCAAAACGTGTTATCCTTAACACCACCAAGCGAGTGCTTCAACAATCTGGGAAAGACCAGTCGCTAATCCTCGACACTTCAAACTGCGTATACCAAATTGAGTGTGTTTGTGGAAGCAAATACATGGGTCGTTCACAAAAGCCGATTGTCTATTCGCATGATGGAGCAGTTGCCAAAATGGTTCAAAACATCTGAGTGCAAAGGGCTGAAATCCCCAATAACAAAACATCTTGTGGATTACGGACATGATATCGATGCGGTCAAGTCATTCACTTTTGTCAGAGAGCAGACAAAGAAACAAGAATATGCTTTCAATTGCACAGGCTTGTGCAATTCGAGTTTATAAACCAGATCTCTGTGTACAAAAAGAGATGGTCGTGACTCTGAATCTACCATGTTAATACATTTTACTTATTATTCTGCCTCTTATTATTATTATTCTTGATTCATTTAAAACTATCCTTTATCAGTAGGATTATCTTAACTCACCTCAACACTATTATTATTATAACTATTACTATTGATATTACTCTGTTTGCAATTCCTGTTATGTTCTCTAATGACTAATTGTTTATCTAAGTGATGTAATTGAAGCGTAATGCAATTTATCTTAATTTTGATGTCTCATACTCTCTGTCCCCTTATCTATTTGAACATGACCTGGAAAACATTCGCATCTATCTTTCTGCATGACTAGTTCAATGTAGTTTGTTTACTTATCAGTCTTATATCTCCCAATGTAATTTCAAAAGTATACATATCCATATATGTAGAGTATTTAGCTGACCGGTTCTAACGAAGTTCGATGAATTTATTAAATCCTGCTTTATCAACCTTTATTGCTTGTTTTAGATCCTTATTTTTTTTAAATAAATTCAAGTTACACTCATAATGAGAATATGTCAAAATATGAAGGTAGTTCAAATAAATTGTCCGGCTACCCCTGCTACATATGAATAAATGTGTTTGTATTCAAAATCAGATAGTCTTTACATAAACAGACAATTATGAAGAAGCATTTCCACGTGTTGGTTTCTTTGGATTTGATTAGTTTCTGGTTTGATCATGGGTTGGTTTCAGCTAAAGAACCTCAGAAAAATAGGGAGTACTATAGCGAGCGCACCTCATAACTTGAAGATCCTTGATTCGATTTCTTTGTGGTGGAGTAATGGGCGAGTACTGCTGAGGAACTTCAAATTAGGAGGAAACATCTATCCAGTACTCTCTGATTTACCATGGTTTTCAAAGTAATATCACTCCATGAGGGAACTTTGAAATCACTTCTTCTTCTCCTAAAGATTGATACTTGTGTTCTGTATTGATTAGGTTTCTAATTCATTATGATATTTTAGACGATCTCTGTGGTAAGTTGTTTTTCAGGCTGATTGGTCATTATACACTGATATGATAAACAAAATGACAAATTTGATTCGTCATGTATGAGCAAATTGCTTAAAATATCAAGTGGCTTTAGATGGTTAACAAAATAATTATTCATGCTACGATTAGTGATATTAAATAAAATCACCTCTGGAAAAGAGTAACATATTCTGTGTTCTATCTACTCTTTCAGCCGAGAAGAAATTCAAGTAAGTATGAAACATATTTCCATATTGCTTTTTAGTTTGATGATTTGCTTATTTTGTCCACCTATTCTGATAATTACCGTATTCCACTTACACAACAAACACTCATTTAGGTCAGTGATTATGAAAATTATGTTGCAAACATTTAGAGATACCGTTGGCATAGATTCATCTTCATAATTCTTTGATTTACTTCTAATGTAGCGCTATGTTTTTCAAATTATTGTGAGTTCTGCATATGTCTTTCAAGTGATTGATATATAGGCACATATGCACCCAGATTGTGTAGTTTTTATATGTTTGGATTTATGTCATTACATTTATGTCATAACACATTAGTTAAGGAGTCATTAAAAACAGGGGTTCTCTGGCATCACCTAGCAGTAGAGTCAAACCATGAATTGATGGAAGTGATAATTCATGCATAAGTGGACTTCTGCCCAGTTACCTAGATGGTCATCGAGCTGGCTTCATACCCTGAATGTTATGTGTCCAAATACTAGTGAAGGTGTGAGTGTTAGAGAGTCTCCAACTCCTCTATTTTCTGATGTAATTTACATTCTATACATATGCGCTAATTCAGCCTGTAGGAGATTTCTGGACATATTATCATTGTCGAACTCCTGAGAAACATTTACACATGTTTAATGAACAGACTGCATTTTGAACATTTGGAATACACTGTGATTCTTACTTATTGTATCGAAATTGATCCATTTTCAAAATTTAGGGAACTTTTCCTTGAAGAACTGTAAGTTAAAGCTGATTTCTATAATATTGACATTGATTTGTCATGGTATTTTGATCATTTTTGTGAAACACTATTGGTTGATTAGAGTGACAGGAAGACATAAAAAGTGAACTGACTTTCATTATTTCTTTCAATTCGTTGTCTTTTATTTCCCAAATGCCTATGACTATAATGTCTTTGAAAACGTTGCCTTAGATTTCTTAAAGATCATTTTAAGATAAATGTATACGTTCGGACGATATTTCTTGACATAGCGTATGAAAAGAACAGAAATGGTCTATGAAACAAATCTTTAAGGCTGCTTGCACAGATTTGAAATCGCCTCCACTTGGCTTCACCCAGAAATAACGCTCAAAACTGTTATGTAGTTATCAGTCCTGCCAAACCTAAGTTTTAGCCACACCACACACTGAAACTAAAGCCTTGTAACAACAGAAGACAAGCGCCGGCAACAGATCGTTTTATCCCGGAAATCAGCACGTATTTCTATATATTTCATGTACATTATTATGGCTTATTCAAGCAGACAAACACAGTCTTCTGATTGGTTGCTTCTGATTTCTCGGAAAGTTAAACCATATATCTGCGAATCTTATTTGCCCACGTTAAGTCTGCTGTGATTGGTTACTGAACCAGCCTTGTTCATATTTTCTCACGGTCAATATTAATGACTTAGATATTGACGTAAATTAATGTCTACCGATTGGCTAGCAGCCGGCTCTAACCACAGCCTGACTTACCTCATCTGATGGATAGGCTGCCCTTAACACCACACTAACTAACGAAAGCAAGAATATAACACTTACGACCACTAGAAGATGTTTTTGTTGACGACGATTTGAAGAGATTGTGCGAGTAGACAATCTCACCACAACAAAGCTTGCGAACTCCTGTCCTTAGAAATTAGAGTGATCCTCGTGTGTTTCAGTCATCAGGGATGAACAAATTTGTCGTCGACGGTGAAACGACTGAGGTTCGACCGAGTTGACAAACTTCTTTTATCCCCGGCAAAACTATTCATTAGCTTAACTTTATAATATGCGCTTATGCATGTTGTTTGGTGAGCGAAATGTGTTTCAATGATATGGAAATTGAAAGAAAGAGGGAATATTTACCCAAAACCGGGTTGTTTAGTTTCTCTGTGCGTCGGTGGCACAGTGGTTAGGACTCTCGCTGACCATGCACATGGTCCGGGGTTCGAGCCCTCGCCGACGCACACCTGATATCTATGGTCGGCCTGCGAACTTTGGGCTACAGATATCCACGCTAAAAATTCCATACTTGTACCAAAAATAAAGTGTGTAATCAAGCTGTAATCAAAAATAAAAAATAAAAAAAATATTTCAAAACACAGCATGACATTTTCATTTTCTAATTTTTCATCAAATTCAGGTTGAACATCTTACAAAAACTGTTAGTTCTTTTTTTCGAAAATTGTGATGATTTATTTTCTGAATTTTAACTGAATGGTGCTTTTGTTCACTTTCTGTAAACATTTGATAAGATTTGTGGGCAAAGTTGAACTTTCGACATCACTAATAACCAATCAACAAACGACCCTGAACGGACCAATCACATTAAGGAGGAATTTATGGTTAATGGAAACATATATTTATAGAAAAAAGCATAGAAATGATTAAACGGTTACAATGGGTATCTTTACCGAACATGTGAGAGAAATATCTCCCAGTTTAGTATGCGACTGTCAATGGAGAAGTCAGACCACATCCTGTACATACATTCATCTAAATGACTATAATTCAGATCTTTTTGAGATCCATTTATACCCCTTATCCTGTTTTTCAGGAGGCCCCAAAACCGTTTCATGGAATTCGTATGAGTCCTCGTAACGGGATCCACCCTGCAAACGAGTGATTTTCTCTATTTTCGACGAAGTGATATCTCTGTAGTGCTGGTACCACTGAACTGTTGAGACGAGGCTATTCTCCGTCTTGACAGCTGCTGCTCTCACCGGCTGTTTCAACACCCGGTAGTTGCAGATATACAAACTCTGGGTTAGGGAGAGATGCGACGCCGCGAAAAAAGTTCCTACGAAATATTAAAATTATCAGCTTAGCCTCTCTAATGTTAGCACGCTTCGAACACATAGTACAACGATGAACAAATGCATCAGTTGATCTGCTCTAGCTTTTTGAAGTCATGATACCACCACACGAACAATTTCGCTCCTTTCGGAGCAACTCTAAATCCAGACACTACTGAAAAACACTGTCCTCCTCGAATTGCAGCCGTAACCTTGTAAGGTCACGCATTAGGAATGAATCAAGCGATATACAACCTAGAACTCCATTCGTGAATCTCATTGGATAATTGGATGTTGTTCGCTGATTGATAATTAGTGGTGTCGAGAGTTTAACTTGGCTGATTTGTGAAAATGGAACAGTTCCGTGTTTCACAAGTGCTCATATCAACGAAAAATACTGATTGTTGCGCATCAAAATACTATTATCAGTGAATTATCTAGGTACCATAAACAACATTCGGCAATTTGATGTGAACACAACTGTAAAACTTTCTGAGCAACTTACGGGATCGCCACATTAGTTAGTAGTGTTCATAGAAAATTAAGCGATCACTTTACCTGCTAATCTGCATGATACTGACGATCCTCCATACTCGTATGTTTAAAACTCAAGACAATTCATGAGTTATAAATACATAAATGGCGTGATATTTACATAAATTGTCTCATTTTAGTGAATTTCAGTAGCATTATATCAATTCCCAGTTCAACATGCTGTTAGCTTTTCAGAACTAAGAAACTTTCTTCGTTGTATGCATTCACTGACGTGTGTCTTATGTTCTGTTCTTTTTTTACATATTTGTGACTATTAATTGATTTTTAATCCTTCATTAAATAATTCCATGTAGGTGTGAGATGTACGTCTTTGTTTTAATGTGTGTTTTGTCTATTGACTGACTTCTCTAATGTGGTAACTAACAATATCTGAGTGGTCAACATGATTTAAAATTCATCTCTTCGGTAGACTAATCACCAAAGTGCATATGAAAACGCCTACATAGAATATTCATGAATGATTCGCATTGAACAAGAATCTACATCAGTTTTGTGCTTGCATATCATAAAAGCTGAGTACTTCTCCAAAGTATTTAGGAACAAAAGCTAGATGAGCTTGGATGTCTGAAGCTTTGAAGAATCCAATATGATCAGTAGATTTTACTGGATATGAACAATTATCAGTATAAGCCAGTCGGACTGGCTCCGATAAATTATTATCTTTGTGAGAACGAGAATTCGCATACGTGTTTTCGTGCTTTTAATTGAGCACCGTGGTAGGGACAGCATATTTCTTCTGTATTCATAAATATTTTTCCTTGATTTGTCAAATTAATTTAACTTCATACCATGTCCGATGATTTTCATGGATACATTAATGTTTTATAGAATCGTCAAAGATGATGTGTAAGTTACACGATGAATAGATTTCTACAAAATTTAATTTACATTTGCTAAAAGCTAGTTTCTGCAGGCTGATTCATCCAATGGCTACAATGCAGTCGGTATGAAAAGTATCTTTACACTGAGTAAAACATTCTTACTCAGAAGTTCAGAAGAAGTGGCTTTGGTTCGGCTCTAGACTATCAAGAATATTGACAGTTAATTTACTGATCTTAGGTAAAATTAAACCCGTAATAGTTCATTGATTCTATCCAGTTTACACATGCGATATCACTACGTATTTGTGTTTAATTTCGTCTAAAATGCCAACTCTGCACCTTTATGCATGAGAGTAATCTAAGTAGAAAGGCAGCAAATGGCATCTTTAGACACTTTAAAGCACATATTCTAGTATGTGAGAATTGATATGAACCTGTAGCCAATTAGGTATCGTCCCATTGACAGCTAATATGATTGAGTGGACTTATGTGTGTGTATAATAATGCTGATGCGATGAACAACTCAGTTGACATGCTAAATATGCTTATTCCTCTGGCGTATCCTCTGCTTCACTTAACGACGTAAATATCAAAAGATAAAGACTTTCAGGTGACTGTTATGACACTGTTTTTTTAAGAAGAACACTCTTAATAAAAGCGGTTCAGAACAGAGGAAATAGATCATTCCAACTGATATGCGATTCGACTTAGACAGGTAAAAAATAAATATTCTGACTGGCTGACGATTTGACCAAGACCAAGATGAGCACAATGAATCACACGATGAGTCATAAGATGATGACTATCTCAAGCTGATTTATATCAAGAATAGTTTGCCATAATCGTTATCTAATCCATGTTAAGTTGACAGAGAAAATGTTGTACACTTTCTAATCTGCCTTTAGGAAGAACTCACTGAAGATTATGTGAGCATACTTTAATTGTATTTAGTTGACATTCTTATCTTATTAAATATTTTGCAGCTCCTAGTGATAATAAATATACTGCTGTGAACAACATAATCCTTATGGTACTCGTGATATCAGTCACGCCAAATTCAAATATATGGAAGGTTTCACTAGCTAGCTTATGATTTATATTCTGTCGACATTTTCTCAGTCCTATGTAAGAATGATTTTGAATAAACTGTTGTTCAACTTAATGGAACACTAAGGCTGAATCGAATGAACTGTAGTCAAGATATGATATAATTTTTTACAAATGTCTAAGGCTGAATTTCTGTGGTCATCAGCTGGGTGTGAGTCTCACTCAGAACACCATCACTGACCAGTTCTCATTTGAAAAGTCTGTGGTCAAAGTCAACCATCCTAATCCATTCGGCGTATTCACATCACTTCAAAAGCCTTATCATTATTATTGAATTCGCTTTGATTCAGTTAGAATACCGAAAATGTTGAATTGCATAATGGGTTAAATTTTATTTTGATAAAGTCACACAATGTTATACAGTAGTATTTACTGATGATCGATCACGTTTCGGGCACAACTTTATGCTGCTCATAATTATATCAAGCTACTCACACAACTTATTTGCTTCTTTTATATCCATAGTGGAATTATACTACACCCAGGTTTTATCCTCATACCAGTAAAAAGAAGTCGAAATAATGGCACTTATTGACGATACAAAATTAAATGAGAGAGAAGCGGTTTTTTTCTGCTTCGAATTTTCACAATTTCTAAGAAAGAATCGTAATAGTTCGTATGGCTATATATGAAAAATTGGAATTGAGTGACAATTGTGTCACACGAAGCAGCGTATTCATTTTATGCCACTGGCAACCAGTCAGCTGCTTCCAACCTCGAACGATAAACAGTTGATATTCTATGAAAATAATCACACACATCGAAGAATAACTGGAAATCTTCACGATGCATAGACTAATAGAAATCGGAAATTAGTAAATTATAATGAGTTTCAGTAATTATACAAGGAATACTACCGACATATCTGTAGAAAAAAGTAGAATATGAGTAGCAGTCAAATATTGAGATCCAAAAATTACACGACTATTCAAATATTTAGAAAATTCCGAATAAAGAAATGAATGAAGTAAGGTCATCCAGTTACGTATGATAAATCGAATGAAGAGCGATGTAATTATGTAATAGTAAAAAAAATCACCAACTACATTAGCTAAAGAGTTCCAAAATAATATAGAGGTTAGGAGTCCATTTCCTAAGGCAAAGAGGCTTAGTATGAACACGTTGTAAATACACCGTATTATTGGTGAAGGTTTCTGAGAACTTCAGGAGACCAGCGTGTAGACTATCAGCAGATGACGAGATATCAATGAAATAAATTGGATTTGTTTTATTCTGCTCTGCGTATATTTTAAATCTTCTTTTCATTGTAGTCATTCTTCCTTTCAGGGATGTGTGTACATGCGTTTTAGCAACTCCATGAAACACAAGTACTTTTCAGTCCTAGTATGTTAAGGAAAAGTTTACCGACGATTTATTGAACGCTCTTGATCATTGTTATTGGATCATAAACAATAGTGGGCCCAATTTTTAGTCATTTCATTTAAAACAGAAATGTCCCAATTGTTATTTCTCGTAACAACTATTTCTCATACATATAGGTGTGATAGTGAAATGTGTTGACCAAACTGTATTGAATAAGCTAACACAATCAACGGTCGTTTTACATAACGCCTTCATAAAATTTACACACACACACATTTAATCTTAGGCTCACGCAAGCAAGAACCCTGTAAGTTTCTGGAAAACTTTCATTTTCATGAATGAGTGATTCCTACATTTATTAAACTTAATTTTTCAAAGAAAATGTTTCAGTTTTCATATTCGATTTTGTTGATAAAAGTACTGCACAATGCTTTTTGCAATCGATCATCAGGTGATGTCCCAATGAATTGTATCATCAACCAGCTATTAATTATCCATACCAGTTCCATGGAAATATTGAAAAAAATCAAGGAAATGAAATGAATATACGTAGAATACACATACATTCAGTATATATCATACTACATATTCCAGTGATAGAGTTATTCATGACATCTTGACCATACTGTCACTTATCTCTTTTGAACTACTTTCAAGGCAAAGAATGGCTACCACTCTGTAAGTGACATTTTCCAATAAGTAATGCTATAAGTAAAATATGTTTTATGTGTTCATTAGTCATGTGGATGTTGTTAAATATGAACAGTTTGCCTTGTACATCACATTCACTCACAAGCTACACTATCTGAAACAAATGCTCCTGCAAATCTTTGAATGTGATTTTCAGTCACCATCAATGTGTAATGTTACTAAACTACATTATGGGTCAGCGAGCATGGTCATACTGCTGAGGAATAAGGTATAATATAAGTGAGGCTATTCCATCAAATGACCGACATTTAAGCTATTCTGCCTCTCCACTCCGTCTATTTAAAATGCGCGAAATTTCGATCTTGAATGGTGTGCACGCTGACTTAGGTTGCGGTGGTCCACAGCCGGTGATAAGATTAAACCACTTAAAACAGGCTGGATGTAACCGGCCACGAAGACGTTGTACCCTGCGCTATGCGTACATGTAACCTTAATGCCCCTTTGTTTCAGGAATTTCTAGAGTATATCAACAAATGCATGCTGCACAAAGCCAGAAAGTAATGATCAACCATCCTCTTGAATAGAATTGGTATTAAATAAGAGATGAGTTCTGTCAAAAGCTGTCGACTTCTTTGGTAAAGGTGAAACATTCAGATAAAGTGATTCTAGTACATGAATTCAGTGCTCAAGTTAGGAAGTTGTACCAGTAAAAAACTCTCTCAATGGTAACAGCGGATTTCCACGTCAACAAACTGACAGTGCTTAACATCTTCTATAAAATTATCTGTCCTCGGTCAGAACTGATTTCAGGCAGAGAGTCACATTGCTTAACCTGTTCGATGCCGTTAATGCATACGCCTATTACTGAGGGAACATCGCAAAGAAGCAGTTGTGAAGTTGATAAGCTCTCAGCTTGATAGAAACACTAAGTCCATATTCATGGAAGAAGTAGCTAAACACGTACCTTAAACTCACAGCAAGACCCACCTGGAAAATATTCAGTGAGTTTTATATACAGTGGTATAGGATGATCATAACCTGAAGTCAAAACTTGATAAATGCAAGTGAACTTTGTCGTCACATCCTAACTGATTTATCCAACACCATTGATTCCTGAGAGTTCTGAACTTGATCAGGAGTGGAAGTTGTTGAAATGCAAGCTGACAGAAAGTTTCCGCGACGATGACGAACACTAGTTGGTTACAAAGTCAAGAGAGGTGGAAAAAGAACCAGACAGTTATCTGGGCCTGTTTGGGGAAAAGATTGTAAACGCAAGAAAGTCGCTGCGAATAACCTGTCAGTATAGCCTCCTGAGATGCCTGAGGGAACAATTTGAGGAGCAATTTAACTTACCTACGGTCCACTCTCACTTGAATGGCATTCAGCACCTATCCGAATGTGATAGTCCATCAGCCTAAGTTACAAAGGCCATCCCTAATTTGGAATGAGGTAAAGCAGCAAGACCTGGTGAAATAACTACAGGGATGTTAAAGGGTGACGGTAACAATCTTCTGCCTGGATTAACTAAGGTGCAACGTCATATCGAGGGTCAGAAATAGTTCCGTTAGACTCATGTAGCTCGCTAATTGTCCCACTTTATCAGAAATGCGACATATCTAATTATGGTAATCATGGAGAGATATTTTTCCCCTCATCTCAAAAAACTTCGTAGAGAAAAAGAGAAGCTGTACAAGACAAAGAATAAATCTGGTCTTAAGAAGATAAACACCCAAATTAAATCTGAAATCAAGAGACTAAACAACATTTATAATCAAACAATACTATCTTGTAAAACCTCAGAAAACATATGGAAGCTTTTTAGAGAAATTACTGGTTGTGGTAAGCATAATAATTTTGCCTCTTCTATTGATGTAAATACTCTCAATAGATCTTTCATCCGCCCTCCAAATGTCCTTTCTGCCTTCAATTTAACTAATAACACGACCAGTGACTTTCATCGTTTCAATACTTCTGATGTTCTTAAATGTTTGAAATCTCTTAAACCTTCCCAGAGTCTAGGCCCTGATGGTATACCTGCCATTGTTTTAAAGAAATGTGCTGATATTTTAAGTAACCCACTTACAAGCATTTTCAATACTTCTTTTTCTAATAATAATGTACCTTCTCTGTGGAAAGATATTAAAATCATCCCTGTACCCAAGTCTGGTTCTGGAGATAGTGTTAAGTTTAGACCAATTGCCATTACCTCTCCTTTCTTGAAACTGATGGAGAAATTACTCTTACAAAAACTCATTCCCTCCCTAAGCTTCTCAAATGATCCAAAGCAGTTTGCTTACAAACAGGGTAGAAGTACTTTGGATGCTGCTGCTGTGTTTCATCACAACATTGTATCCTCCTTAGACAAAGGGGCCAAGTATGTCCGTTGTACTTTCCTTGATTACACATCTGCTTTTGACTCTGTACCTAGAGGCCTTTTGTTAAACAAGCTTAGCCTTACACAAACTGAGTCCTGGGCTATCAACTGGCTGCACTCTTACTTCTCCAATAGGATGCAGTACACGGTATATAATGGTGTAGCTTCCTCTCCTTTGCTTACTGAAGCTGGTGTTCCTCAGGGTGCTGTTCTCTCGCCGTTTCTCTTTTCCTTCTTCTTACATGACTTACCTCTCTCAGACGAAATCAACTTCGTCAAATATGCAGATGACCTGACTGTTTCGCTTCCCGTTAAGTCTCAGTCAGACTGCTTCAAATTAAATAGCTTCCTGTCGGACATCAGTCAGTGGTCTAAAATAAATGGCCTAACGCTGAATCCCTCAAAATGCCAGACTGTCGACTTCTCCTTTAGGCATAAACGAGATCTACAAACACTAGTAAGCACTCATGATGTCTGTAGAATCGAGGGGACTATAATTGAAACAAAGTCTAATGCAAAATACCTCGGATTAGTTATATCTTCCGACCTTACTTGGTCATCTCATATCCAAATGATTTCCAAGAAAGTGTTTCGTCTAACCTACTACATTAAGAAACTCAGACTAACTGGAGTCCCTCAACCTCTGCTTACACAATTTGTCAACTCTCGTATCCTACCTATTCTACTTTACTGTTCCCCGTTAGTCTTTCCTGGGTTACTGAAAAAGGATTATACCATCCTGAGAAGGATGTTGAAGGTAGTTAGCAGGACTAGCGGTGTAAAACTCAGTCAGCTCGTCACAACATTAGTGGATAAGCATCTGAATACATGTGAGAAATGGTCTAAAACCATACTCTCTGACCCCCAACACCCCCTCTATTCCCAACTCTCTCCCTGCATCTCATCAGGTAGAACCAGAAATCAGTATAAAATAATATATGCTCGCACAACCAAGTATAGGAACTCAACGATACCATATTTGGCCCGTGTTCTAAGTGACAGAGACAATGTTAGGCGTGAAACCTATGACTTGCTTTGTTGTTAATAACATAATTTTGGCCCTTGTTTTTTCCCCCTTACACTCTCTTATTTGTACTCTATAGTGAACAACCTTCTTAAACATACTTAGCTGCTTAAAATTATTATCATTGGCTTACATTTTTATTCTTTATTCTATTCCTTCTTTGTACATCTACTGGGTCCGACTATATTATCACTATGATTATTAAAAATTGTCCCGTCATTAACCATCATGTAACATTAGTTTTGTGGTTGTTCTTTGTTCGGCACTATTTAACTGACAATCTTGTTTGTTATTGCCACTATCACCATCTTAAAAATTTTGTATTATGCATGATTCCTCACACTGCCACTACAAACAACCGCATTAGTACTGACAAAAAACAACCTGAAATGTTTATCTTATGATTGCTTAGTGTTGTTCAATCAAATTAACTGATCATCTTGGCTATAAACATTTTTTTAAGAACATCTCATAATTTCCCGTATGATTATAGCTGTTACTGTTCACCACGCATACACATATCGTAGCTTCCACTAACTAATACTGAAATATTTTTTTCCATTATTTGTGTTGATCTTCTTTTTTACTCAGTATTTTTATTTGCATTTTTTTTGGTTATTTCTGTTTCTTTTTTTGGTTTTTTTTTTATATTTTATTTTTTTTTATAATACTCCTTTTAAATGTACGATGAAATTAGATGCAATATTGTAGATATGTGCTGAAAATTCCACACTGTACCACAAGTACTGTTTCTGGAATAAAGCGAAATTGTTATGTTATGTTATATCATCTAAACTTTCAGATTCAATAATAATGCGTAGGTAAAGTGGTACCCGGGTGAAAAGGACATCAGCAAATTAGGCAGGCTTTATGCCAGGAAGAGTGTGTGGTGATTGTGAAACATACAAATATTTAAGCAGCCACCAACACTATCCAAATTCCTCGATCTGGAAGTACCCTTCGACTTTATCTTACGAGAGTGAATGTTGCAATATTTGGTGTTTCGAAAAAATTTATATAACCAATCAAGTCACTCCACTAATACACATGTAACTGAATGAGAGGTTACAGATACTTGTCATTCAAAGTGGTAGCAACCACTGTTGTCCGTCCAGGATGCTCGCTCTTCCCAACTTGGTTTATTTTAAAGTAGATGTGCAGGATTACCATAACTAAATTAATGTCAGTGACTTTTGGATTGATTTGTTATCGCAAAACATTCTCCTTGAGTTAAGCTACATACGTGATAATAATTCTTTCAGGAGAAGTTGTTGACTGAATGATGAGTATTTTGATCGGCTTGATAGGCATTATATCGGATACATCAGATGTAAGATGATGCTTCCGGACTGAACCTCACCAACACCCGGTTTAGATAGATGGAGTACATTAGTTGAGCTTTCTGACTACTTCAATTCGGGAAGTTTCATCAGCTCTAATGGACCGATTGTTGACGCAATCACAAAATGACTACAAACAGATAGTGTGACATTCATCATTTCGCGTCAGTGTTGGCGTAAGTAAAATACTGTGTTATCTATGAAAGATCTTTTGAACCTCAAGGCTATTCGCCCTTGTCATCTGAATGGCTTTCTGATATCGTTACTGTATATAGAAGACATGAAACATCTGGCTGCCTTTGACCACAGATTTATGTGTTAAATAGTGTCACAGAGCAAGCAATACTGAGGTTAGGCTCAATGTTAAGTAGGAAAGGTAGGTCGAACGATGATAATGTGAAGTTTCGTCGACTGCAGTCCCTAGAACACGTGCCTCACATGCTGAGCAACCACCTTCCTTGACAAGCAAGCACTATGTTGATTTGCTTGATAATTAATAGTATTCAAACCAATACCGGACATCAGTAGAATTTTCAAAGAAAGAGTTAATACCTAGTGACTATTGGTGATATGGCTCAAAATCTTTCGGATATATACACTATTTCCGATTCCTCGTATTTATGAAATCCACCTCTGTTTCCATGTTACTGTTTTTTCTTGCTCCCATAGATTTTTCTTTCATATAGCTCACTTCAAAATCTTCATGCACACATTCTTCCACTTTTTTTGGCTTTGTGTGGTGTGTTGACGTGAATCACTCTTTTCTGGAAAGTTTTGTGTTGAAACACGAGTCGTTCAATAGGTTAATTCATCTTGGAAGTTTAATGCTGCACACATGTGAATTAAAATCTCTATGACAAAAATTGAACACAGTGGATTTCTTTTAAGAAATACTTTGTCTCCTTGAAAAAACAATTTTGAAATTGTACAACTTTTCAAAAGATACTCGCATTTTTTGTCCTTGACTTTATTTTAGTCATTACGAATCTGAAGTCGGCAGGTCAGTAAAATAACAAGAAATTTGATTTCTTTTTGAATATTATGTGACAACACCTCTGGTTTTATTCAATATCTTAGAATTAGGAAGTTTGGATTTGAATTACTCAGATTTTCTCGTTTTTAGTTCAAATTCCACTTTAACTTTAAAAAATACGTTTCGTTTTGCTGGTTTAAATCAAGCTACCTGAATCAATCGTGAGTGAATGTTGTTTGTTCTTTATTAAGCATGATAACTTTGTAACATTTAAAATCAATTAGTTATATCAACTCATGAGTGATATTGTCCTTTATTTTGCAATATAGTATAGTCAACTGTTCATACGAACTGTGATCAAGATTTGATCGGATAGTCAACTGACATTGTATAGAAGGTATTATGCTACCTTCAGACTGATCCGAATCTCAAAAGTCAGTCAAAGTGATTTTCGTGGTTATTTTTATTTCAAAGCTTACGAAAGTAGTCATCCACCAGTCAAGTTAATGAGATTCATCGCTTGCGTTTTTTCCCGTTGAACGTATAAAACAGAACTGAGTTGGTGTTTTCATTTTTGCTTCCAAATCAACTGATCAACAGAATCCCCTTACTGGAGAAAATGTAAGTTTTCTACCTAAATATTTTATCATTATTGTGATCAGGCATTGAAGATTATTGTAAGGTTCAGCATTTACATCAAAATACTAATTTTAGAAGGTTGTAGTAAAGTAGTTAACACTGCTCTCATGTCAGAATTCAATAAAGACTTATTTTTGACAGAATGTGCAATTCAAGATATATTTGTTTCATGATCTGAAGCTTTCATGAAGGTGATATGACGGCACATCGACGCCACAACGTGGTTTGATGCTTAACAGAATCACTGTTTGGAATTTGCCTTGCAGAACAATGCAGTCACAATATTAATACTTACTTGGAGGTTTCAACTAACGGTGTAATTATTAAGCGTTTATCTGCTGGGCGTATCCTCATTGTTTGGTTTGTGTTTGTTTAATCTCTGATTCTAATGTTTCTATTTGTGGTTGTGACACATATTGATTAGTGTGTTGTATTAGGTTTTGATTTTGCTAGAATGAACCAAGTTCAGTATATCCTTGGTTTATTTGCAGGAACTGTTGATGAGTGCGCCTTGTGGATGAAGGTTTGATCCCACCTTGTCGGGAATATTCAACTTGATTCTAAAGTACTTCTCACAAATGAATTTTGATTAAATGAATTATTTTCTACGATACTTCTTTTTGTACTTGAAAGTTGTCTTGCCTGCTCGACAGGAATATTGAGTTCGTTTTGAGATTTTGATCTTACTGCCGCCAAACAGAACCATAGATCTAACGAAGAATGCTTTTGGAGCGTTTTGTGAGTTTATGTCTTGTGAGGACGTTGTGTCACCTAAACAGTGAGACCCACACACTGCGTTCAGATCACAGAGCCTTGTGATTGGTTGCAATATGGTGGTTGTGAAATGCTTGAAGACCAGAGTAGATTAAACTGCTTCAATCATTTGTGTAAGCATACTGACAATAATAATGGTAGCCTGCTCTTATTAACATCTTATCATAAACTAATAACCTAAGAAAACGTTTTGAACAAAATGTTGGTGTTATTTTAATCTTAAGCGAGAAAGAAGTGAAACAGAGGTGAGTACTGCTTCTCTCTTGGTATCCTAAGGAGGCAGTGAAATATTTTTTTAGTTCACATTACATCTATCCAAACTATAGAAGTTGTGAATGTCCTAGAATACTTTGAACTCAAAGTCAAATCCAATTATTATAAGGTCGCTTAAAATAATCCCTGATGTGTTTAGAAAACCAACCATAGTATTCTGAATGTGTTGCTGTGTAAACCTGAGCGTCCTCTATATTCCATTGGGAACTCAGGGGAAGAACAGAAAAAATCGCTATCGGTTTATTTATACACTTCTCTTAAAGGATGAGGATAAATAACGACTGGCATCAAGAATCACATTCATAAATTAATTATTGTTATTATTATTTATAAACATGCATATATGCGTATCTCAGCATCTGTGCTGAAGAAGAACATTTCATAACTGGAATCTAACTTTCAAGCTTCTCTGAAGTGTGTATTTACCTTTTTCAATTAAAAACCAATGATATATGGTCGCTAAATCCCAGCAAATTAATTCATTTTAGAGTAATTAATTAAATTAATAAGGAAAGTTACGGGGAGCTTTTCACTACAGCTATAAGTCCATTGACTCTACTGTTCTCATTTCAACAATATTCGTTTGACTATAGTACCTTACTACAGAAAACTAAATGTGGAAACTTCTTCTTCACCCTTACCTCTTGAATAACAGCCAAACTTTCACTGAGTATGTTCAATAAATAAAGTTTTGAATTTTGTTCTCAATTTTGAACGCAGTGGTGCATTGCGTTTAGTATTATGTACAAATTAAGGTTACGGTTAGACCAGGTGGTTAGATCTCCTGACAGAAGTATGCCTTTACAAGGAATGTATCAAAATATTTGTTATGAAGTTTCCCTTATCATAAATAAAAAGCACAAATGGTTATTTAAACACTTAGACACCTTCAACTGACCAATGAATCTGTAATGTTGTTGACTGTTTGTTTTTACTGAAATTATGGAAACACTTCATCATTTAGAATAAAGAAATGTTTATTGCAATTCTGCGACGAGTACACATTAGTTGTTGTGTACATAGTAAGAATCACATTTAATCTCAGTGGAAATGTACCCAAATGTCGTTCAGTGAAGCACAAAAGCGCTAACTATAGATCTGGAGAGAATTGTTGTACGTAAAACTAAGCAGAATTTTAGGTTTACTATAACTCATCAATCAAGAAAGTTGTATCTAGCTATAGAAGGAAAGAATGAAATTGTCTCAATTCACCCTGTAATTCCACCATATTAACAACTTAAAACTAAAGATCAGGTTATAAGTATTTTGCAGTGTAACCTGTCAAACCTTGGAGAATATAAACCCTCTGCAGACACAATTAAGTTTATGCTTAAATTAATGAATCGTCGTGACAAAGAGTTCTACAGCTGACATATATATTACTTGACATGTTATGGTCATTTTGCGTCATTTATCTCAATTTGCTTAGATTAAAATATTTTTATCAATACATCACATTTCTACCCGGAATTATACCTGTCGATCTCCCTAATCCCGTGATCACACTTCGGTAGTTACAGAATCTACTTCACACTGGTTGATGATAATAGTATTTAATTGACTACCTTGAAGAGATATGGCTATATCTCCTCGCCACTACAACTGAAATGTATCTGTGACTCAACTAAACCAGACATAAAAGAGAATCTAAAATATTATCAGGTCAACTTTTGATTTCTTGAGTAATTAATTAACTGAGAGAAAGGATATCATAATATTCTGGACATGAGTCATAACACTGCGATAACAGTCAACGAATTTTCTAAGCGTATTTACTAATCCACTGTCAATATGTTCATTAATATTCTTGCCTCAAGGGATGTTAAAACTCTGTAAGTCAAGAAAGGGCTTTTCTAACATATATTGAAACAGCTTTTAACACCTGATATAATACAAAAGGTTAGAAGTTTAGGTGAATGATTTTGAATTAGTTTTGTTGTCTGCGTTGGTTGATTTAATTGCCAAGTTTTTGTCGTACACCATCTAGATAACACCTTTAACGCAGCTTTTAGCATGAAATGAATTCATTCGAATTCTTCATGAATGATATATCTGTGTCTTTAGGCAAACACTGTCGTGACTGGTTGTTGATTTACGTCTCTATTGATCATATTTTTATTGGCTTGAAATCTGAACTTCTCTGGCATATGATATGCTTTCTACTAGCTGGTATATTTGGTGCATAATAATTAGTGTTTGTTAATCGCTGGTTGATTCACTTGAGTACCAGGCTTCTAGGAATTCCCTGGCATTACTTTTCGTGTTTCCTCTATTTAAGATGTCTACATTATCTCACTACAATTGGTGTCCATAATTGTTCACACGCATTCATATGAAAGAATATATATCTCATGTCAATTTGTGTTCTTGGATTCGGATTTGAAGGGGAAACCCACTTTGACTTGTATAATGTTTATTACAGTTCATATAGTTTATTTTTTTGTCAATGGTATCAATTTAAGTTTGCACATAGTCGAATGACGTGATTGTGTTTGCTGGCTTGTGTGTTATACCTGTTTCAAACGGTCTAATATTCGAGCTGTTATTTCACAGATATATATTTATATCTGGTAGTATGAATATTCTTGTGGTCTTTTATCTGGGCTTCTTGGTGGTGTTATGACTCCAGTTTAAACACTGCTTGATGAAATTTTGAAGACACTCATTTTTTTTGCAAAAAGGTTAGTAGGCATTTTTCCTCCACTTTGTTCAGCAAGCGAGTGCTACATTGTGTTTGAAGTCTTTTAAACAACGTCTGCACACAGTCCCCCCTGTGGATAGTCAGGTTATTACTACTACTACACTAAAAGTTTCAAAGAATTTCTGGAAGCTTGGTACTCAAGCGAACAAGTCAGTCATTAACAAGCACAAATAATTATAGACCATATTTATCAGCTAGTAGAAAGAAAATCACATGACAAGACAGTTCAAATGACAAGACAACAGAAATATGAACAATAGAGGTGTAAATCAACTAATCGTCACGACAGTGGCAGCTAGGAAACACAATTATATCATTCATGGAGAATTCAAATCAGTTCATTTTATGCCGATAAAAATATGAACAATAGAGACGCAAATTACCAACTAGTCACAACTAATTAAAAATCATCTCCCTTAACTACAAATCTTCTCCCTTATACCACAGTTCACTGACTTCCTTCGAATTCACGGTGCAATAGAGTTTCCTTGTAACCTTCATTTAATGGTCTATTACAGACGCAACAAAACGAAGGATGAGTAAGCAATATATTATACTCGATTATCTCCCTTATTATTTAACAAACAGTCTTAACATGTTGAATTACAATTCGGTTGGAAAATTGTTATGTACTCGTCGCCAAATTATTATTATGTACTGGTTGAGAATTTACTAGTCCTGACGCAAGAAAGACGGAAATCAGAAGACCACTAGGTTTGCGATGATACTTCTATTTTCCAAACACAAGGAGAATCAATCTCACACAAGTGTGTGAGAGCAAAATATATATGAATGTCCAAAACAAGTGTGTGAACAAGTGTGTGAGCGAATATTCAAAGTGAACAAATCAATAGACAGTCTTAACACGATTGGCTAATTATAGTGGAATATTGATCCATATATACATAGCGAAATATAACAGACTGTCAAACAAACACACATATTATATATAATATAAGGGGAATATACATTGTTAAAAGAGACAGGTTCATCAAAGTGAAATGGTCACAGACTAAGAGAGCAACAGAAAGAGAGACCACCATACATATGTATATATATATATATATAATATATATATATATATATGGATACATATCACAAATATCAGTTGAAGAATGTGGATATTATTAATTTTGGATGGAATGGAATTATAAATCTCCGTAACAGTCAGGCATGAACTTCTCTATTTGAAAAGGTGATTACTTGTTCGGCAGAGTGATTGCTGAATGAGGATATTGAGAAAGCATACTCTGAAAATGTATAATTGAAGTGATAAACACTTAAATATCCCACGTTGGGCGATTAAAATGCGCATTAATAATTTATTCATTTGGACTGAATGTAAAGTGAGGAAACAGATGTAATACAAAGAATGCGCAAAGAGTTTTGTCGTTAATGTTATTTTAAAATATCTGACAGCTTTAATTCCATCTTTACAAATAGCCTAAATTCATTCAGAAACATACATCAAATTAGCTATTCATTACGTTCTTGTTAAAACGTCTCTGCGTCATTGTGGATCTAACATGAAAATGTCTTTTGGAAACAATTTCAACTTCTTTTCCATGCAGACTTGTTTACCTGTTGAAACAGTAAGAAAATAGATCAATATTTTAAATGTTTCACACTGATGGTTATAAGGTTTATCTCAACTACAAAAGATATCTTATTCGCTCACTTCATTCAATTGATGAATTCGTTGTTTTCCCTGAATTCTGATATTGTTTCAGGTGAAACGAATCACGTGTACAGATATTTTTAAATCATTCTTCAGCATTATATGCACGAATTAGAAGGTTAAGATACAAAATATCTAGAAAACTCTCAGGAATCCTGATGACTCTGTGTTGTCAAGAGTCGTCTGTTTCGGGAATTCATCACGAAATGACATCAGTTAGAGAACCACTGGAATACCTAGGAGTACTGGACAGCTTTTTCGTCCTAGACTGAGACACTCCGGCAGTAAGCACACACCGCCTGTCGAACTCAGCACGTTTTTTTTCACAAGGCGAGCTCGTAGACCATTAACACTCTGCAACCCGATCCAATGGTTAACCTATGAATTCCAGCTTCTGCCAATTCACAATGTAGCGTGACTGGCGTTAGCCAGTGTAACCAAAGAGCATTTTTCCTCAAATGTCACCTACTGTGCCGCACTTAGAACCCATGTGTCTATCTATCTGAATACGACCAGTCGCTAGTGAGAATCAGATTGATATCGTCTATTTACTGAACTTTTCCAATAAAGAGCGATTTGTAGCTAGAATGTATAAATGCGACTATCTAGCAGTTGAATACATTTCGCGAAGGTTCTTGAAGGCTAGTCTCAATTGATGACAAATTCTCTATTGTTGTCAATGTTATTACAAAACACTCAAGCATATCTGTGATCACTACGAATATGCCTCACTTTCAGATTGAAAAGTAAGTCAGAATATTTGCAAATGAATGCGTCACAAAAGCGAGATTCAAAAGAACTATGTTGAGCAGAAATTTACGGGAGGAAAAGACGTTCAGTTTTCAAAGGTATGACAGCTGAATGGATAAGATTGTTAACAAAGGCTGAGTTCATTACGACATGATATATGGAGTGGATTTTAGCGAATTTTATGCAAAACGTGTTCCACCTATTCAGCACTGTTCTTATTAATAGAAGTGAAAGTCGGAATGAAATTAGTTTCCTGAGAGTATAGAAGTTGATTTGTTGAATGTCCAATCTAATTTCGTCAAAGTCATTCACACATTGCATGTATGAAATATTCTAACAAAATATTGCTTCATTTCCTTGTATCATCAATTTCAGAAGAGAGGTATGTTTCTTGATCACAACAAAATTTAGATAATTAAAACTCATAGAGCATTTATCGCTAAAACACTATTTCATGGAAGTATACTCTAAATACACTGGGAAGTTCCTCTCGATTGGGCGTTCACTACCTGTGAGAATAAGCTGTTTTATTAACATTCAGACCGAGAGATATTCAGAATGAAGTGGTGTTCCAGTTAAGGCCATTGTTAATGACTTTCACCGGTAGGGTTTTAATATTACAACCGAAAAGTCTGTGATTTCACCCAAAGGCAGCTTAGTATATAGTTATACAAGAACCATGTATTCATTCAAGGATTCTGCTGCAGTATAACTATAAATTAAGAAGACTGTGAATACCATTTCGCAAAAAAGCATATATCAGAAACACTATCGTATAACTGTCATTAGCATTTACCATTGTGTCACATGCTCTTAGACGAGGAATGGTTTACAGACTACATTCAATTCTCGACGTTTTTTCACAATCTCAACCAAATAGACACTATAGGGAAATTCACAAATAGAAACGTTATAGATACGAAATGTTTTGCATTTGGCTATTTCACTTAAATGGGATCATATTGGAAGTTAGTGGGCCAATTTCGTTACTGAATTGGAGTTTGCTAAAGCTACTTCTTAACACTTGCTACATTGTTTTGAATATGCAGATATGAATCAAATGTTCTCTTTCAATATGCACTCTATAGTTGTCTAGACCAATTTCTCGAGTAAGTAGACAATTAAAGTTTGAATAATCTTGGGGAATCTTATGCGAATATAATGGCTGAATCCGCATTCCCATTTATATGTTCTCCAAATAAATCATGATGACATCAAATGCATTTATTTGCTTTGTATAGTGAACATATACTTGAATTAAGATGAAATCTGAGATGAGCATACTCTACATATTCAGCTTTTTAAGTGCTATTCACATTTATTTGATGGATACCATGATGAATATCTCAAGTCTATGTAAGCGGTATCACCATCATCATCTAAACTAAAAGGATATATTACTAATGGTCATACGGAACTGTTATGTTTGGATAATAAAGAAGTGGCATATGAACTTACTGCCTCTTTGATGCAAATAATCTAATACACGTGAAATCATTCAGTCATGTGATGAGCTTTCTCTACATTTAACGAATTCGCTAGTGTATCAGCTCATAAGAATAAGTAAAACAAATCACTCCTACATATTTAATTATCGAATAAACAGAATCATCAATTGGGAATACTCAAGGCATCCTGCAGATTGCTTGTAACCATCTAAGAATTATTCAGAGTGCATTGTTAGCCAGTTAGCATGGCGGCCATATTGCAAAGTAAACACTCTGCATCAAACGAACGACTAGATGAATGGCATTAGCTTATTGTTCAATCCAGAAATTAAGAATACTGGTTTGCAAGCAATATCCTAATCTACCGACTCACTGTGTGACGTTTTCTTTTATTTTGCAGATATTGGCCAGTGTCCATTTCATACTTCTAATTCAGTCGCTTATGTACATGTTGTCTGACGTTTGTGAGACAGTTTCAGAGCACATTTTGATTAAGTGTTAAAGTGTGATCTCGCAAAGACAGTTTTTTTGAAGTTTCTTTTTATTAAAAACATTCACTTCAATCGACATCATTTTAACTGGTAATATAATATAATGTAACATAAAGCAGTGTAAACCTTACGCTTTCTTGGTAAAATGAAGGGATATATGATACGATTTCGAGCATATTTGCCTAGAAACTTGTGTGCACTTAGAAAGAGCAAGAGGTTTAAATCGGTCTAACAATATACTGAGCGCATAGAATCTAAATTTATCTGTGACTTTTCGAATAACGCACATATAAATAAACCTCATAATGCTATAACACACCTTATAAAACTTGATGCATCTTAAATAGTACTGCACATATGGAGTAACTGCTTCATCAGACACAGTAATCAGGAATTCGTTTGTTGGACTGTATAATTTGATATATCAGATTGCAAAATGAACTGAAAGGGCATGATATCAAATGTAAAGACATTTTTTGAATAAATTCACTAGGCTACTTACTCATATTGTTAGTAGTCAAAATCTTACTAAGGTCCTTCAGCCTCAAGGATACAGAGGTGCTGCAAATAAGTTTAAACTTGTTTCCTCATAGCAGCAGGTTCCTCCTAATGTGGTTAACAAATGTCTACATAATTAGAAAGGCGTTAACATGGTGATATTTTATTGGTGGTAAGTTGGCAAATACAGCCACAGAGTAACATTAGGGTATGACGTATATAAAATGTAAATAAAACACATGAATTACTAAGTGAACAATGGTTTGGTTATATTGGTAATGATATCACACGCTTATTTCGAAGGGGTACTTCAAGCTTCTGGCTGTTACAATTAGGTGTATGATTTCCAGCGAGACCGTATGTTCGTGCATTAGAAAACCTTAATAATATTCCAACTGTGTTTAGCGGATACTCAACCATACAACTGGGAGAAATAAAATAATTTAATGAAAACAAAACACGTAGATCATCGAAGAGACTCTTTTCGTGAATTCATTTTCTTAGTTATACAGTCGCAAATGTATATGCGTTATTTTGTATGTATGTGTACATTAAGTTTGTCAAACAAAAATACAATTACTTATGGTTATTTTAACTAAACAGGTGAAGATTGGTAATACAAGTTAAGAAATTAGGTGTTAATAAAATTAAGGCAGTAACAAAGGTGATAAGTTGTCACAAACAGTTGTTAAAAGAAGTTATGTAATATTATGAATAGTTTATTGAGCGAGTTTTACTCAGGATGCATATAGAAACAAAGTAGATAATACGAAATGACATAAGAGTTCTAATTGAATACGAGAATTATAAGCAACTAAAGAACAGGCAAAGAAACAAAATTAAGTCATCAAAATAAAAAACTCAAATGAAATCAAAACAAAAACAAAAAGGTTGTTAACATGATAGTGGTAAGTGGTTGAGTAATCTTCTTTTGTATGCACAGCTCCGGTTTTTCCATGTGAATAGCCAGAGCTTCAGCGATACAGAGAAGACGATACCGTATCGCCTTTGATAGGTTATTCTTGGTTTTTGTAGATTACTTTGAAGGAGGCGTTTGTTGAAATGGAATGATCAGTGTTAACCAGGTGTTCTATAATCGCCAGCCTTATTGCACCACTATTGCCTTTTCGCAACCATGCTGGATAGTGTTCTTGAACCCTCTTGGACAGGATGCGCGTTGAACGACTGATGTAGCTGGCTCCAAAGCAGCAGGTGAACTGATATATGCACATAGAAGTGGCCAGATGCTGGATCTTGTCCCTGAGGCTTCTACACATCAGTGAGCAACTGGAGAACACTATACTTAGCGCTGCTGCAACGAATGTTCTCCTCAGAGATGATGTGGTCCTTCTCTTGAGAATATCGCTCACTAAATATCCCTTGAAACCCAAGTTCAAGTGGAGTTTCTTTTTAGGTGCAACTAAAATTTCGTTTCTCCGGATTATTTGTTTTATATTTTTGTCGATGAATCTTATTGGGTATCCAATTTGGATGAAGATTTCTCTTAGAATATCTAATTGTGTTTCCAGAACGCTGGGAATGCAGATGCGTCGGATGGGGGTGGCAAGTGATTTAATTAAATTCCTCTTTGGTTGAATGGGTACCCAGCTAAGGAAGCTTGTTAGCTGATCATTCCACGTAGGTTTTCTATGGATAGAACTTCTTAGACTGCCATCAGTTCTTGTTGTTAGTTCCACATCAAGAAACGGAATTTTTGACTCGTTTTCCATTTCAAGAGTGAATTTTATTGCTGGATGGCAACAGTTAAATGTCTTCAGCAGTTAAATGGGGCCATGGTTGTTGTTACAAAAAATGAAAATGTCGTCCACCAATCTTTTATATTTACTTATTTCCTTCACGTTCCCAGTGGAACGTAGGGCTTCAAGCTAGTGGCTCGAAGTTTCTGTAGCAGTGTTTATTTTACAGGATGGGGTTACTAGCCTCATGCCCAACCTTTTCACTTTACCAGGATTATTTCTGGCTTAGTGAGGTAAAGGAGTGCGTCGGCCGGGGGTTGAACCCCGGGCCATGTGCATGGTTGGCTAGCGTCCTAACCGCTATGCCACCAACGGTCCTATCTTTTATACAGTCGCAAATTGTCAATGCTTGGCTTTAGTGAACCTTTCTCGAGGCTTGCCACGAAGCAGTCTGATAGGAGTGAACCCAACGAGATCATACTGCAATATGATCCTTTTGTCTTAAGATGGTGTCGTTGAATGTGAACTGGATGTTCAGAGTGCATCTAAATAGTTATTCCTATTATGTTGTTGGTATTCCAGGAATGAGGTGGTTGTAATCTATATATCTGCGTATGAAGCAGGCCGTTTCCTTGAGGGAGGCATCGGTGAAAAGTGACTCAATGTCGAATGACAACATAATTTTGTTAGATACATTCATCTCTTGTATGCAATCGATGAACGTGGAGGTGTCACGAAGCGAGTGCGTCATAGTTATTTGTATCATTTCAAGGTAGACCTATATTCATGCATATAAAAGCCTTACTATTATTATTCCAACTGTGTTTATCAAATACCCAAGTAGACAACTTGGAGAAATAAAATCTTTTGTCAAGTACAACGTGGTGACTTTGCATTCAGCCACTTAGGAAAGGTCAGTAGATTCGGGTTGGTATATTTACATTTACCTAGATCTAACGTGACTGATTCCGCTAAATTAGGTAATGTAGAAAGTTCTCATTAATTTCAATGCACATGATAGAATGGGATAAGGTTAATACACTCAAATTCAACATGATCTTATAGGGTTAGCTGTTAACCACCTAATGATCTCATCAGCGCCTGTCATAGTACCCAGAATTACATCCAAAGCATCCAGAAAACTACTCAAGGAAGTTTTTATACTCCAGAAGCAATCACTACTGAGAAACCGGAGCTACGTGTTCAAAACAAGTTAATTCAACCTCTGAATCTACGAACACAATTTCTGGTTCATAATCACTTTGGTTGGAACTATGCTGCTTCGAAACACGATTTCTACTAAACCTGGAGGTTACCTACTTACTATGAGTTGTCTTTTCCGAGTACAGTAAAAAGAAGGTGGCTTGTTAACAATTCCACTCAGAGATTCACAAGTTTCTTCATTGTAAGTCACTACTAATGATGCCTTAAATACCTATATCTTGATGACGTCATCTTCTGTGAATGTTAACTATTCGTGTCACCGTTACTATTACTATTATCATTATTGTTTTCATCCTTAATACTATTACCATTATTATTATGAATTTCTATATACTTCCTGATTAATTTATCTTTCTGTAAACACTAGTGCCTAAATTCCAAAATTGTTTCCTTTTTGTGCACAATGTGACAATAAAAACTGCCTTCACGGCTTCCTAGCTCATAATAAAGAAGCACGCAGGAAATGCAAGTTGATATAAATAACAAATACAGTCAGGAAGGTGACGCTACTTTGAGGAGGTTACTTAAAGCATCAGTTGTACCGCCATACAAAGATGATGACTGTGAATCATTGCTTGAGATCATTAAAAAGGCAGGGATAAGAGTCACATTCAAACCCATCAACTCACTTGGAAACCAACTATTTCGCTTAAAGGATACAATGAAGCTTAATGAACATTTAATTTGATTATTCTAACGTATGCTTATAAACCAGGATTGTGCAAATTTTTGAGAATGGATTCTCCAAAACTTATGTCCCTGATGTACAAGGGATTTTCAAAGTGAAGCTAAACGCCTTGAGGATAGCTGGGATAGGCCAAAATGCAAGTTCAACACCCAAAAACTGAAGGACACAACCTTAAGGAACAATTTCACTGCAACTGTCAGAGCAAAGTAATAAACACCACATGACATCACTTAAGAATCAGGCGTGGAAGACCACTGGAACTCTCTGAAGGGGATTTTTAACGAAACGTGTTCAACGGTTTTTAGAGACGAGACAAGGGATGGCTCTCAGTGGACACATAGAAGCTAACAGAACAGAGGAGAATGGTGAAAGAGAAAATGACTCCATGCAAAGACGGACAAGAGAAGGAGACACTGGGTTCAAATTACACAGAACTGGACAAAGAAGTGAAGAAGAGTCCTAGGAAGGAGAAAAGATAAATTTACGACAATCTAGCCAATGAAGCAAAGAAGGCAGTAGGCAAAAAGGGATCTGAGGACATTATATCAGATAACCAAGTCTCTATTCGGGAAGAGATCAACACAAGCGAAACCTATAAAAGACAGCCAAGGGAACCCAATTACCAAGGAAGAAAGAGAGACTAAACAATGGGCAGATTACTTCGAAGGACTCTTCAACCGACCACCACCTGCAACCCGTCCAGAAATACCAACAACAACACGTACACAGTTGTAAGTTGACACCAATTCTTCAACGAAAGCTGAAGTCTTGAATGCAATCAAACTTCTGAAAGCTGGAAAAGCAGTTGGACCAGATGGAATACCCCCTGAAGC